TGAAGAAAGCAACCCCCCACAAAACACCCCAACAGTCGCACAAAACTATACCCCTCCCCTCTAACTCCCACAAAGCAATTACAATATACGACCACCATCTCCAAAACACACCTACAGTACACAATTGCAAGGGACACCCAGCCACACCCCCCACTGAAAGAATGACATTACACGACTACACAACCAACTTCCCCCCGCAAACACCCTAACAGTTACAGCACAAAATCACACCCAGAAAAAAACACACACACGTCCACAGCCTACCCATCCCCTCCCTCCCACTACTCCAACCCCTCCTGGTTCCCCAGGGTCCTTTGAGGCTGGGATCTGGGGGCCTCGTGTTTTACCTTCAAACTCCCCCCGGGAGCCATAGGGGTCTCGGTAGCTTTCAATAAAGCCGATGTAACTGTGGAGGGAGAGAGCACATTAAATGGCCTGGCCTGCCCTGGACTGGGGAGGCTCTAAGAGACAAGCCCCCTGGTTCGCTGATCCCAGGAGGCAAATGTCCCTATCAACAAACCCCTCTCCTCTCCCAGCCCCCCCCCCCCCCGCAGCTGGCACCTGACTTCTCTCAAAACCCCTGGCTGCCAGCCTTCCCTGCTCTAACCCACTGAACCCCACTTCCCTCCCACAGCTGGGGACAGAACCCAGGAGTCCCGGTTCCCAGCCCCCACCTTTCGACAATAGGCCCCTTGTCACGGATCCAGCAGCGGGAACCTTCCTTGTGGGCCGCAATGGAACCCTGAGTGAAGCTACGGATGTAATGCTCCAGCATGTGCTCCTGGTTGGTGTTGGCAGCATGAGCCTGGGAGAGAAGAGGGGCAGACACGTAGCTCATCAACGACTATTCCTCTGGCTTCAGCCATTCCTCTCCCCACCCCCCAATAAATTCCTCCTCCCCCATCACCATCTCAACCCCAGGAAGTGAGAACCCAGGAGTCCTGGCTCCCAGCTCCTCCCAGAACTGGGAACAGAACCCAGGAGTTCAGGCTCTCAGTCCTTTGTCCCTAAGACTATCTTCTCTCTCTGGATATAAAACTAAGGTTTCCCCTTGGTGGCAGAGTTGGGGTTTAAAACCTACAAAAGCCACTGGAGAGACCTCCCTCCCCGCCACCACAGAGCCCCCCACAGCTCAGTGCACACCCAGAGCGGGGGCGGCAGGGGGACACATGCCTTGGTGCGCTGTAGGTTCTCCACCACTCTCTCCAGCAGGGGTGCGTAGTCCCCGCGGGTCACACGGAACGTGCAGCCCTCAAACTCAAAGCTGCGTAGCTTGGGGGCCAGCTCATGGTCGACGGGTGCATCTGGGGAGAGACCCAGAGAGACAGATAATTCAATGGGGGAAGGGAGAGAGTGGGGAGCACAGGCTGGGAGCCAAGCATGAGGGTGGGATCCAGGCAGCAGGTGAGGGGGAGTACAGGTTGGGGGATTGGGGAGAGATCCAGGAAGCACAGGTCAGAGGAGCTGAGGTAGGTGAGCACTGTGGGGAGCACAGACCAGGGGGATCCAAGCAGTGAGGGGGCAGAGAAGGGGGAGTCTTACCAGTGCCCAGCACTGATGCCAGTCGCACCTCGTAGCATGTCTGCCCTGCCTTGTCCTTCTCCTTGAAGAGCCGTGTGTTGTAGGCACTGATGTTCTGAAAGATGCAGAGATGGTGTTGGAGGGGGTGGGAGATTTACCCCATCTGACCCCCCACTTCAGTGGGCACCCGACAACCCCATGCAGAGGCACTGGAATCAGAGTGGGGGATGGGAAACCTGGAGGGCGCAGACCCCAGGAGGTCTGATGCTGGGCACTGCCCTATGGACACAAGGGCCGTAGCAATGCAGAGGCAGCAGACACACCCCACGGAGGTGGTCAGGCCTTGGGGCTGCCTGGGGGGAACCGGGGAGATGTCCCATGTCAGCGCGCCAGCAAGTACCTGCGAGTCGAGGAATTTCTGGGCTAGCTGGGCATCCTCCAAACAGCAGTTCCCAGAGAAATAGGTGGTGGTACCCTGAGGGGGAGGGCAGGGTGTTACAGAGAGACCACCAACCAAAACCGCTCACACATCCCCTCCCTGCCGCCAGCCATGCCCACTGACCCCCCATCTCTCTGCTGCCTGCCATGCTCACTGAGACACCCCTCCCCGCCACCAGCCATGCCCACTGAACCCCCATCTCCCTGCCACCAGCCACACCCACTGAGGCACCCCTGTCTCCTTGCTGTCAGCCACGTCCACTGAGACACCCCTGCCGCCAGCCATGCCCACTGACTCCTCATCTCCTCGGGCTGCCAGGTCAGATAGAAATTCATTTTTTTAAATCACATTTTTTACTTTACATTAATTTTTTATCATTCTATCAATTTCTCTTTCCAAAGAAAATAAGAACAGCCATACTGGATCAGACCAAAGGTCCATCTAGCCCAGTATCCTGTCTTCCGACAGTGGCCAATACCAGGTGCCCCAGAGGGAATGAACAGAACAGGTAATCATCAAGTGATCCATCCCCTGTTGCCAACTCCCAGCTTCTGGTAAACAGAGGCTAGGGACACCATCCCTGCCCATCCTGGCTAATAGCCATTGATGGAACTATCCTCCATGAACTTATCTAGTTCTTTTTTGAACCCTGTTATAGTCTTGGCCTTCACAACATCCTCTGGCAAGGAGTTCCACAGGTTGACTATGTGTTGTGTGAAAAAATACTTCCTTTTGTTTGTTTTAAACCTGCTACCTATTCATTTCATTTGGTGACCTCTAGTTTGTGTATTATGAGAAGAAGTAAATAACACTTCCTTATTTACTTTCTCCATACCTGTCATGATTTTATAGACCTCTATCATAGCACCCTTAGTCGTCTCTTTTCCAAGCTGAAAAGTCCCAGTCTTATTAATCTCTCCTCATAGGGAAGCTGTTTCGTACCTCTAATCATTTTTGTTGCCCTTTTCTGAAACTTTTCCAATTCCAATATATCTTTTTTGAGATGGGGCGACCACATCTGCAAGCAGTATTCAAGATGTGGGCATACCGTGGATTTATATAGAGGCAATATGATATTTCTGTCTTATTATCGATCCCTTTCTTAATGATTCCCAACATTCTATTCGCTTTTTTGATTGCTGCTGCACATTGAATGGATGTTTTCAGAGAACTCTCCACAATCACTCCAAGATCTCTTTCTTGAGTGGTAACAGCTAATTTAGACCCCCATCATTTTATATGTATAGTTGGGATTATGTTTTCCAATGTGCACTACTTCGCATTTATCAACATTGAATTTCATCTGCCATTTTGTTGCCCAGTCACCCAGTTTTGTAAGATTCTTTTGTAGCTCTTCGCAGACTGCTTGGGACTTAACTATCTTGAGTAGTTTTGTATCATCTGCACATTTTGCCACCTCACTGTTTACTCCTTTTTTCAGATCATTTATGAATATGTTGAATAGGACTGGGCCCAGTACAGATCCCTGGGGGACACCATCATTTACCTCTCTCCAGTCTGAAAACTGATAATTTATTCTTACCCTTTGTTTTCGATCTTTCCTCTTATCCCATGACAACTTACTTTGCTTAAGAGCCTTTGGTAAGGGACTTCATCAAAGACTTTCTGAAAATCTAAGTATACTGTATCCACTGGATCCCCCTTGTCCACGTGCTTGTTGACCCCCTCAAAGAATTCTAGTAGATTGGTGAAGCATGATTTTCTTTTACAAAAATCATGTTGACTCTTCCCCAACAAATTAAGTTCATCTATGTGTCTGACAATTTTGTTCTTTACTATAGTTTCAACTAGGGCTGTCAAGCTATTAAAAAAATTAATTGCAATTAATCGTGCTGTTAAACAATAATAGAATACCATTTCTTTAAATATTTTTGGATGTTTTCTACATTTTAAAATATATTGATTTCAATTACAACACAAAATACAAAGTCTACAGTGCTCACTTTATTTTTAATACAAACATTTGCACTGTAAAAAAACAAAAGAAACAGTATTTTTCAATGCACCTAATTCAAGTACTGTAGTGCAATCTCTTTATCATGAAAGTTGAACTTACAAATGTAGAATTATGTACAAAAAACCTGCATTCAAAAATAAAAATGTAAAAATTTCGAGCCTGCAAGTTCAATCAGTCCTACTTCTCATTCAGTCAATCGCTCGAACAAGTTTGTTTACATTTGCAGAAGATAATGCTGCCTGCTTCTTGTTTACAATGTCACCTGAAAGCGAGAACAGGTGTTTGCATGGCACTGTTGTAGCCGGCGTTGCAAGATATTTACATGCCAGATGTGCTAAAGATTCACGTGTCCCTTGATGCTTCAACCATCATTCCAGAGGACATGCGTCCATGCTGATGACGGGTTCTGCTTGATAATGATCCAAAGCAATGCGGACCGATGCAAATTCATTTTCGTCATCTGAGTCAGATGTCACCAGCAGAAGGTTGATTTTTCTTTTTTGGTGGTTTGGGTTCTGTAGTTTCCACATCGGAATGTTGCTCTTTTAAGACTGAAAGCATGCTCGACACCTCGTCCCTCTCAGATTTTGGAAGGCACTTCAGAGTTTTAAATCTTGGGTCGAGTGCTGCAGCTATCTTTAGAAATTTCACATTGGTATATTTTTTGCATTTTGTCAAATGTGCAGTGAAAGTGTTCTTAAAATGAACAACATGTGCTGGGTTATCATCCAAGACTGCTATAACATGCAATATATGGCAGAATGCGGGTAAAACAGAGCAGAGGACATACAATTCTCCCCCAAGGAGTTCAGTCACAAATTTAATTAACGCATTTTTTTTTTTTAATAAGTGTCATCAGAATGGAAGAATGTCCTTTGGAACGATGGCTGAAGCATGAAGAAGTATATGAATCTTTAGCGCATCTGGCACATAAGTCTGTTGCGACACCAGCTACAACAGGGCCATGTGAACACCTGTTCTCACTTTCAGGTGACATTGTAATTAACAAGTGGGCAGCATTATCTCCTGTAAATGTAAACAAACTTGTTTCTCTTAGCGATTGGCTAAATAAGAAGTAGGACTGAGTGGACTTGTAGGCTCTAAAGGAGGGGTGGGCAAACTACGGCCCAGAGCCGTTTTCAGATGGCCTGCGAGCCGCATCAGTGGCTTGGCCCTGCTCTGGCGCTCCAGCCGGGGCGCTGGGTCTTGGCTACACCATATGGCTTGGCCCTGCTCCGTCTGGGGCGCTGGGTCGGGGCCACACCACGCCACTCCCGGAAGCTGTGGGATGTTCCGGAACCGCTCCAGCTCCTACATGCTCCAGTGGGAGCTGCAGGGGCAGCACCTGCAGATGGGGCAGCGAGCAGAGCCGCCTGGCTGCGCCTGCGCGTACGACCTGGAGAAGGGACATGCCACTGCTTCTGGGAGCCGCTTGTGGTAAGCGCCACTTGGAGCTTGCACCCCCTGAGCCTCTCCCCGTGCCCCAACCCCCTGCCCCAGCTCTGATTCTCCTCTCCAAACCCCTCGATCCCACCCTGGAGCACTCTCCTGCACCCCAAATCTCTCATTCCCCAGCCCCACCCCAGAGTTGCACCACCAGCCAGAACCTGCACCCCTTCCCGCACCCCTCCCCCCGCCCTGATCCCTTCCTGCCCTCTGAACCCTTCGGTCCCAGCCCAGAGCACCCTCCTACACCCCAAATTCCTCATCTCCAGCCCCACCCAGAGCCAGCACCCCCTCCCGCACCCCAACCCCAATTTTATGAGCATTCATGGCCCGACATACAATTTCTATTCCCTGATGTGGCCAAAAAGTTTGCCCACCCCTGCTCTAACGTTTTGTTTTTGAGTGCAGTTATGTCACAAAAAAACCTACATTTGTAAGTTGCACTTTCATGATAAAGAGATTGCACTACAGTACTTATATGAGGTGAACTGAAAAAATACTATTCCTTTTGTTTATCGTTTTTACAGTGCAAATATTTGTAATAAAAATAATATAAAGAGAGCCCTGTACACTTTGTATTCTGTGTTGTAATTGAAATTGATATTTTTCAAAATGTAGAAAAACATCCAAAAATATTTAATAAATTTCAATTGGTATTCTACTGTTTAACTGTGTGATTAATGGCGATTAATTGTTTTGAGTTAATCGCGTGAGTTAACTGACCATATTAGCTATCCTCCAGTCATTTGATTTAAATGACACAAAGTACAGTTAATAGTTTTGCAGTTTCACATTTGAGTTCCTTCAGAACTCTTGGGTGATACCATCTGGGCCTGGTGACTTATTACTGTTTAGTTTATCAATTTGTTCCAAAACCTCTAATGACACCTCAATCTGTGACAGTTCCTTGGCTTTGTCACCTAAAAAGAATGGCTCAGGTTTGGGAATTTTCCTAACATTCTCAGCCGTGAAGACCAATGCAAAGAATTCATTTAGTTTCTCTGCAATGACCTTATCATCCTGAGTGCTCCTTTAGCATCTCCATTGTCCAGTGGCCCCACTGGTTGTTTAGCAGGCTTTTTGCTTCTGATGTCCTTTAAAAAAAAAAGTGCTATTCACTTTTTGATTCTTTGGCTAACTGTTCTTCAATGTGTTTCAAATTCAGTTTGAACTTCTGACAGGCTCTGGCAAGGCCAAAACTTACTGCAAACCAACAGAAACACTGAAAGAAATACACAATAATATAATATGCTGCATGGATGAGCCCTCCTCAAATCTTTAAGGGGGAAAGTGCACGGCTTGTTTAATTATATGAGCAATTGGGGCTAAACCATCTTTAATGGCTGAGGACGAGTCAAGCTTTATACATGTCACAACGGCCTACGTGTCCTGATGCTGGAGCAGAGTGAGACCTGGGCACGCCATTAGTTTGACAATGAGCAAACTTTGCTATCTGCATTACCTCAAACCACAGCTCTTTCAGTTTCTGTTCTGCACAAAAGCTTCCGCCTTAATTTAGTGCTTGAGTTCAGTGTTTTTCAAAGTTTGGGTCAGGTCGCAGCATGGAAGGCACTGGGTCGCTCTGGTCAGCACCACCGACCGGGACGTTAAAAGTCCCGTCAGCGGTGCTGCCCAGCTAAGACAGGCTAGTGCCTACCTATTCTGACACCGTGCTGCAGCCTGGAAGTGGCAAGCAGCGGGTCCAGCTTCTAAGCAGGGGGGCCACAGGGCTCCGTGCACTGCCCCTGCCCCAAGCACCAGCTCCGCACTTCCATTGGCCAGTTCCCAGCTGATGGGAGCTGGGGGAGGGGCGGTGCCTGCAGGCAAGAGCTGCGCAGAGCCACTTGCGCGCCTCTGCCTAGGAGCCGGACCTCCTGCTGGCTGCTTCAGGTGCAGCACAGTCCGCGGTGCGAGGACTGTTGGGAAGCCTGCCTCTGCACCCCAGCTGTGCTGCTGACCGGGAGCCACCGGAGGTAAGTCCGTGCTCCAATCCCCTGCCCCAGCCCTGAGCCCCCCCAAACCTGGAACCCCTTCCTGCACCCTAAACCCCACCCCAGAGCCTGCACCCCCAACCCAGAGCCCTTACCCCCTCCTACACCCCAACTCCCTGCCCCCACCCTGAGCTCCCCCAAACCCAGAGCCCTTCCTGCACCTCAAACTCCTCATCCGCAGCCCCAGCCCAGAACCTGCACCCCGAGCCCAGAGCCCTGACCCCCTCCTGCACCCCAACCCCCTGCTCCAGCCCAGAGCCCCTTCCCACACCCTGAACCCCTCATTCCTGGCCCCACCTCACAGCCCTCACCTACGCACCCCAACCCTCTTCCCCAGCCCTGAGCCCCTCCCACACCTCAAACCCCTCATTCCCAGCTCCGTTGGGTCACAGGCATCAACAATTTTCTTCAACTGGGTCCCTGGAAAAAAGTTTGAAAACCACTGCTCTAGTTCAACCAGGAATTAATTCAGGGCAGTCCTATGGCCTGTGTTATACAGGAGATTAGACTAGATGACCACAGAGGTTCCTCGTAGCCTTAGAATTCATGAATCTATAAATCAATCTGTTTGAATGATTTATAATAACCAATGAGAATAAACCTTTCTTTAGGAAAACAACTAAAAAGTACAAAGGCAAAACAAGATGACAATAGATTATTTAAATCAATCCATCCTGGTTGCTCTCAAGCCCCACCCCTCCCCTCCCCAGACTAGAATCATCACATGTGTATGCATGGGACATTACCTTTTCTCTAAGCCCCAGCTGTCTCTGCTGTGCGTCCAGCGAGAACATCAGCTCCCCACACCTATCCCACAGCAACTTCATCTCCTCCGGCTGCTCCTGGAATGCCTGGCTCTGCCAGATCAGTCGTCGGAGCTTATCCTGGGGGGAAAGGGGTACAGCTGTGATGGAGGGGGGGATAAGTGGGCTGGAGCCATGAGGTGAGGGAGGGCCAAACAGTCTCCCTCCATGGAACATTCAACTCAATCAGGGACCTGCCCCATAGCCAAAGAGAGGGAAGGCATCTGGCACAGAGCTCTTGGCAAGAGGATGATGCTGTGTCTGGGGAGCAGTGTCTCCCCATGGAGACTCCAAAATATGTTCCATCCCCATGACTCTGGCATGTGGCCCCTCCCTCCACCCCTTGCATCCACAGACTCACCTTGGGCAAGTTGGGCACAAACTTGGTGTCCCCAAAAGATTTGTAGTTCCCCATGTTGGAAAAGACGCCAGCAGCGTAAACCAGGAACGCCTAGGTGGGGAGAGGAAAGATCAGGGTCCAGCCAGGCACTTCAGTGCCAGGGAGAACCCAGGAATCCTGGCTCCCTCCCTCCCTCCCCCCCACTCTAACCTACTAACACCCAATCCCCTCCCAGAGCCAAAGAAACCCAGGAGACCAACCTCCCAGCCCCTCCCCAGTGCTCTAACCCACTAGACCCCACTCCCCTTCTAGAGCTAGAGACAGAACCCAGGTATCTGGATATGGTGGTACCTGGTACTCCTGGTCAGTGAGGCCAGTGGAGCGTGCCAATTCCCCCAGCTGGTCAGGGTCCTGGGCACGGAAGAGGCGGGAGAGCAGCACATAGATGGCTGGTGCCTCAGGTGAGGTCTGGAGCAGCACAACCAGCCCCCCATACCAGCAGGCACGTGACAGGTAGTGGGCGTAGAGCCGCTCGCCCCGCAGCAGCAGCCGGAAGGCCTCGCTGCAGTCCAGGAGCGCCAGCCCCACGTCATTGGGCAGCACGTACTGCGAGTCCACCATTTTGCTGGCCAGCCTGCGGGGAGAGCATGGGTGCCCTCAGTCCCAACCCACAGCCTGTGATCGAACCACAAGACCCCACTCCCTTCCCACTTCCATATTCATCCCTAGGTTGGTTATTGTCCCCGCCCGTAACAGCTACAGCAGAAGGTCAATGAGGACAGACAGGGCTATTGCCCCACAGCTGAGCCAATGTGGCATGTGCACAACCAGGGACACAGCCACATGCACAACCACACGCTCATGCAATGGCCTATCTGACTGACCTACACAACCACACAATTGCCCTCCCAAGCACAACTGTACAATGACACATCCACCCCAAGATGCAGCACCCCAGAGGCGGCTAGATAAAGGATCCTGTATAAACTGCCCCCATGCCTCACCCCAGAGGCGGCTACATCTTAGCATCACACACACACCCCATGACAGTGCCCTAATTGCACGGTGCACCCTTATATTGCAGCAACATCTGCACCCACAAGTGCCTGCACATACCCCAGTGCATCCCCTTCCACTCTCCCTGTGCCCAGCCCCCAGCTCACACCTGGTGCCTCCCCAGTCCGGGCAAGGCCTATGCCCCCTGCACCGCGGGGAGGGGCCTTCACCACCCCCCAGAACCTCCACCGCTCTGAGGATTCCCCCTCCCCCCAAGACCCCTATGCACGCCCCTCCTCCCGGCAGGGTGCGCGAGACCCGCCTTGCACCCAACTCACGCGCTCAGAGCCCCCACCTGCCGCCACTTCCTGCTTGCAGCCCCGCCCCCAGCGGCTTTCCATTCATAACCTCGGCCCTCGCCCACCCACCAATCCGTGCGCTCTGCCAGAGAGACGGACACTCTTTGCAGCCAATCGTGCTTCGGGATGGGGGAGGACTTCGCTTTCCGAGCTCCTCCGCTGCCACACGCGTTACCCTGAAGGGCTGGTCCGTGCTCTGCCGCCTCAGGTGCTGTTGTCATGTAATTAACGGGAGAGGGAAGGTCCCAAATCCCATTGCCCACCCCCGAGCCTGCCAGTCCACCTGCCCTGGGGCTGGATCGGGGTTGGTGCCCCGAGAGGGGAAAGGTCCCTGCTTCCTTTCACTGACAAACCGGATTAGACCTCGCTTTACTTTCCCAGAAGGTCACAGGCTGCCCTGCTCCTGGAGGCCGGGGAGGGGGTCAGCCTGCTTTTTAAGTGCAAGTGGCTTTTCCGATTTTCCAGAAAGCTCGCAACCAAACCATGCCGCGAGAGTCGTGTCTGCTGGCAATTTTACATGATTGTGATTATTTATTATGTGTATTACCGCAGCACCTAGGAGCCTGGTTCACAGACAGGGCCCCATTGTGCTAGGCATTGTTCAAATGCAGAACACACAGACCCTGCTCCGCAGAGCCTACAATCTAAGTATAAGCCAGGAGACAACAGAGGGGTAGAGTATCAGAGGGGTAGCCGTGTTAGTCTGAATCTGTAAAAAGCAACAGAGGGTCCTGTGGCACCTTTGAGACTAACAGAAGTACTGGGAGCATAAGCTTTCGTGGGTAAGAACCTCACTTCTTCAGAGGCATCTGAAGAAGTG